GACGCGTCTTAGGCTTTCTCGAGCATGAAAGAAAAAGCGAAACGGACGTTGAAAGCTGGCAGGAGAAAAAGCATGAAAGAAAGTACGGCGAGGCGCGATCTGACGATAGTCAGCATCCAACGCGCGCCACACACGAACGAATCGACGAAGGGGATATTATAATGAAATCGGTTTTCGCTTAGCACGCTCTCAAGCGGCCTTTATTAAATCTGCGATTTCGTCGCCTTCTCTCCCTTCTTTTTTATTATTATTCACAGCTTGCGAACCTTGCAGCTCTATTCTCGATGGCTGCCAAAGGTGAACCTGTCTATTGCTCCCTTTCCTTCCCCTCCCCTTTTTCGTCTCTTACTTCGGACAAAATTATAATGACGTCGCCTTTAATGTTTGATAATCTCGTTCATCGGTGGTTGAGAAAAAACAGTAATATGTGTAAAGCACTTAATAGCTCGATCTATTAATTTGTTTATATTTTGCGTATATTATAGGATGTTTTCGGTTTCTCTTTATGGTCAGATCTGCACTTATATAAAAAAAAATGCTGATTTTTCAATCAAAAGGATAAAGTATTTTTCAGGTTTTTTTCTTAACCATCACGTTAATATAATAAGTTAAATTATACGAAAAAGTTGAAATGCATTCTTTGATATTTTCTAAAAATGTAATGAAAATCTAAAAATTCTAAAAATGCAATGAGAAATAGTCTACACTCCTCTAAAACTATAAATTTTTCTTTTTCTCTTTTTCCATTTCTCCACATGCAGATGAAACTGTAACATATCACCGTGCAACATCATAAAATATGTTAAAGCTTAATAAATTTCAAGTGAGATAAGAAAATATGATTATGTAAACGTAAAACAAAACGCAATGGCCATAACTTCAATTAAAATTTCTTCTCTAAAAGAAAATTTTAACCAATTATATATGAGTGAGTTTGGAACATTGACTGCTTCGCGAGTTTTGTTTAATTTAAAATCTTAAGAGAGGAGATAAATAATCTTCGAACAAAATTATATTAAGATTAGTTTCGATGCTTTTATTTTTTATTTCCATCTTCCTTTTTTTTGTGTAGTTTTTTTTAAGAGTGTGCGAAAAATGTTTCTTTCCTGATGCAATAGAAAAACTAATTTTCGGCGTGATCTGGGTTTCATCGTCGGCGCTGGAAACACGGAGAACGGAATTAGGAGAACGCTGTTAGCCGCCGGGTAAAATGGGCTTCGGGTCTCGCTTTGGCCGCGCAGTTAATTTTAGTTTCGTTTGGAACATTTTGTGTCGGCGATAGCCGCAGGCAATTCTCTTATGCTGTTCGTCGCGCGTATAGAAAAAAAATGTCGCGATGTAAAAGTTGTATTTTAAACAATGTCCCTTGATTAATAAATTATTGAAATATTTTCATTTTGTTGGCAATTATCAGTCTGCATATTCGGCCAATTTTCGTTATATTGAACTGAAACTGATTTCAGAATATATTATAAAAATGTATATACATATATACAAAATATATATGAAGATATATATTATATATCCACATCGAAATTTCTAATTGAAACAATCCGCAAATATGAATATGTACATGCTTGAACAAATTTTTAGAGACTACTCATTTTAAAACACAATGTAAATCATAATGACAAAATTAAAGCTACATCGAGGAAAATTATGAATATTTAAATGTATACATAATATATTTTACAAAGAATTTAGCATCTCCTTTCCACATGAATTTAAAAATGAAATATATCCTTACAGAGTTAAATTAGTGTCATCGATAACGTATATATGTATATATAAAAGACAATAAATAGTTCATATATAAGAGAAGAGCTACCGATCATATTTGCATATATTAATATTTACAGTTGCTTTTATAATACAATATTTTCTTAATATATATTTCCGATTATGTTAAACGCCTTAACGTTCGTGGCGTGAGCTAAGATCGCGTGCACAAACTATTAATAGTCTAATAAAAAGGTCATTGTACGATATGTAGAATTTTAATATATTTCTTTGAAAAATTGTAATTACTAAAAAATTCAATCACTAGATTTTATGAAAGATACATATACGAATAGTTCGTATATGTATTATTTATTTAAAAATATGTCTTTCTCTTTGATTATCTGCTAAACAGAGAGCACATATACATATAATAAAATTACACAAAGAGAAATAGATGTATATTTATATATGCAAAGAAGATTATATTGATATTGTGGATAGTCTAAAGGATTAGGTAAATCCGATTTGCATAGTTTATATCTTGTTGGAATACATTTATAAGTGCAAATATAATTATTATTGCATAATTTTACAAGGAAAACAACCTCTTCTATTTCTCGATATTTTAACAATTTACATACTTGTGTTTTTATTCTTTTCGATTAACTTATTTTTAATCTTGCCAAAATTTTAGAAATGTGTATCACATGTACATATAATGCTAAGAATCGATCCCTATGTCTAATTCCTATTCCCGATATATCAATAAAATTCTAGCACAAAGAGATTTAACGAACGAACTTTATTAAAATCGAATTTGAGGTGTTCACGTATTAGACGGTTAACGTGGTGGAAACGAGCCAGTAAACTCTGTGTGTGCATCGTGACAGCGAAAATATGCGTGGGCATGAAACTAAATTATTTGCATTAAGAATTCGAAAAGTGGTTAGAAACCTTTTATCAACAGTGAAATGTGTATAAAGATTAATTTTATGAGATGTTTCTTTTTTACTAATATTCAACATAAAGTTTCTATGTTATTTAATCAATAATTATATACATGTATTTGCATGTACATATGTAATTACATAGATAACGCATTGATATACGTATATCAAGTTTTTTTCGCAAGAATTTATTAAAGTGGAAATTTTATTACCTTATTGTTTAAGCTTTTTGTGCGGCGATAAGGAAGAAATTTAAGACTACATACTGTGTTAGCAAGCAAAATATTTCTATGTTGGGGTAGAAACTAGTGTGAATCTTGTAAAATATCAAAGCAATTATCATCCTCCATAATGAAAAATATAATGCTAATTGAAATACAATACTTGCAACAAGAACATAATGGAATAATACAAGAGCGGAAAAAATTTTACATTACATATATATTTTAATTAAAAACATTAATCAATATTATTTGGATCCGAGAGTTGAAAACAAAGTGATAATTAGTGAGATAATCTGATATATATGAAATTCATATTTGATATTACACCAGAAATATCAGTTACATCACAGGAATGTCAATTTTTGAACAACAGTTATGGACATAAAATATTAAAAAATAACGACATAGCAGCATAACATCGATACGTACAAATGCAATTGTATATAATGACATACTTTGCTTTTAGTGCCGATAAAATACATCGTGTTCAGAGATACGAGTAGTTATAAATAGTTTATAAATAGTTATTTACATTTATTTTTGATGGATTGCTACGAAAAATATAGAGCTTTATAAAATAATTATAGTAACATATAATAATTAATTTTACTTTTACTATTTTTTGTTTTCTATCTTTTCGCAAATTTTTGTATTTTTCCTTCATATTATTACAATTGTACATACAATAGATTTCATGTTGATTTTAGAAATGAAAATATAATTAAAGCTTGGTAAAATTTTAAGACAATTATGTATTAAAATTGTACTTGCACCATATTCACTTGTACTAAATTTAAAAATTATAGCTTTTATCTATCTTTTTCTTTTTCTTTCTCTTTCTTTCTCTTTCTCATTTGTAGGCGAGAATAAGAGGGTCTTTTTGTTCATCTATTGCCATATATTACAACCAAGAATCGATAACTTATTCGAGCGCATGGTAGTTGCAATCCTGTGAAGCATTAACCGTCTACATTTCTTCAGCATCTTATCAATTTATTATGCATGCTGTAAAACAAACTCGTATAAAAGCGAATCATAAAGGTCTTAGGTAGGTCAGCGTGCAACTCCGCAACGTCCCGTGTAATCGATGCCCCCTCGAAAGTGGGGGCGAGGCGTTGTAATACCGCGTTACTGCAGGTATTCCGGGCACGGAAATCTGCCCAGAGAATTGCATATGTCGTCATTGCGTTGTACAGAATGAAGTTTACTTCAAAGAATATGACATTGAATTTTGAAGGTAAAGACGAAATTTTCATACCGTTCTTGAATACTCAATACACGTAAGGTAATGAAAAATGGTCTTCGACGTGGAAAAAAAATTTCGCAACGATGCTCACGATATTTCGCGATAATAGCAAATTTATTCCTGATAGAAAGCTCGACGCCCGTGCAAAGATTAAATTGACCCCCGCGACGGTGTCGTAAAAGAAAGTAAGAAATGCAAAGCGTGGCGAGCCACCTGTGTAATTAGGCATAGGACGCGATAGCAGTTACGATGCCAACACGCATAAACGTGGCGTAAGATTATTTTGAAATCTGAAATGCGAAATTGTATTATCAAACAATTGTATTATCAACGGTATATCACGAATTATGTAACAAATGTGAAATGTTTGTGTGGAAAATATTTTATGTATTGATTATCTTCAACTGCATTCCAGCGATAATTACTTGAACGAGTGTTTGCATCAACTTATCTTTGTTTTTAGATTAAATAATTTCACGATGAAAATACAATGAAATAATTTCACACATATTGAATAACAGATAATCAAGTTGTTGAAAATATGCCTGATACAATAATAAGTATACGTAATAATTTTCGATTTTTAAATTTACATACTTCTTAAATATTACTAGCTTAAACTAATGCAAAAATTAATTATTGTTAATTGCAATAATTATCACGCTATTATATAACATAAAAACGAAGGGATATTATATAAAATTATTCCATATCATTTGACACTAACATCATTACGAAGAATCTTGTTATCAGTTAAGAGATAAGATGTGGATAAGACACATCTACAAGTTTATCAAATGTAAGCGATATAGGATATATCTGTAATTGTGAATTTTTTACAAGTTCGTTGCACGATATAAAGCGTAGAGTAAATCATTGAGACAAACAGTCACCATGCTTCGCTCGTGCATCTTCATTGCAGCGTTAATCGCTCTGACTGGCTCGGTCCCGATCCAGAAAGCGGGTAAAGATTGGTATAAGAACAGTCTGGTATATCAGATTTATCCGAGAAGCTATAAGGATAGTAATGGAGATGGCATAGGCGATTTGAATGGGATCACCAGCAAATTGGAACACATTGCGGATATTGGCGCTGATGCGTTATGGCTATCACCGATCTATACCAGTCCGCAGGTAGATTTTGGCTACGACGTTGCCAATTTTACCGATATCAACGAGGAATATGGTACCTTAGCCGACTTTGACAGACTCGTAGCGAAAGCCAAATCTCTCGGGTTGAAAGTACTCCTTGATTTCGAACTGAATTATAGTTCAGACAAGCATGAATGGTTTAAGAAGAGCATCCAACGGATCAAGCCTTATGACGAATATTATGTCTGGCGTGACGCAAAAATAGTAAACGGCGTTAGAAGACCGCCGAATAATTGGTTGAGCAACTTTGGAGGCTCTGCTTGGGAATGGAACGAGGTACGAAAACAATATTTCCTGCATCAGTTCGCTGTCGGACAACCGGATTTCAACTATCATAATGCCGATTTGCGACAAGAAATGAAGGACGTGTTGACATTTTGGATGAAACGCGGCGTAGAAGGTTTTCGCTGTGATGCCCTTAATTATATGTACGAGGATACTCGTTATCTGGATGAGCCCCTATCAAACGCACCTGGAGTACCAGATAATGACTACGACTATTTGGATCATATTTATACAAAAAATCTCCCCGAGACTTATGAAGTCCTCAAAACCTGGAGACAGCTGATGAACGATTTCTCCGCGACTGCCGACACAAAGATGATCTTGACTGAGGTTTACGCGGATTTGGATTTAACCATAAAGTACTATACATCGGGCTCGACTGTGCCCTTCAACTTCATGTTTATTTCGGATCTAAACAACAAGTCCAGCGCGCCTGACTTTAAGCGCTTCATCGATCGTTGGATAAACAATATACCTGACGATCCGTCGTACGTCGCGAACTGGGTAGTAGGTAATCACGATAATCATCGAGCAGCTTCCAGATATGGCGAGAAACGGGCTGATCAACTTTCCATATTATCGCTCATTTTACCCGGCGTAAGCGTGATTTACAACGGTGACGAAATTGGCATGCTTGACAGGAATTTTACGTATGAAGAAACCAAGGATTTCGCCGGATGTAATGCTGGACCCGACAGGTATTAATACGAGCAGAAACATATCTGAATTCTATTACATAATACGTAGCAAATTTGTAAAATCCATAATGTATTTGTGAATGCATATGCTTTATATATCTTATACTACCATTTTGAATTTAATGATGTAATAGAAAATCGATTACTTAAACCAAAAATACTATTACTAAAGATTATTAGTTACAGTTCTTAAAATTTAATCAAAATTTTTGTATATATATTTATTTAAGGTTTTTATTGAGATTTAAAATTAAATAATTAATTTAATAGTTCTAAAAGCTACTAGGCCAAGGTAATTAATTTAAATTAATTAAATTAACTATATATATAATAATTAATTTAAATTAATTATTTTGGCCTTGGTAGCTTTTAGAATTATTAAATTAATTCTTTTATTTATAATGCGTGTATAAAATATGTATTATTTATTTTGATAATAAATAATAAAATTGTTTAGAATCTCTTAATAAATCTCATTTACGTTTCTAAATATATACATATTTATATCACATGTATCGTTTAATATAAATTTATTTTAAATTCTATTTGTTAAAAAATAACTTTTTACGACACTAACTAATTTAACTAATTTAATTAATTTTAACATTATTTACGTTTTTAGATATTATCTGAAATCGCGAGATCCGGAAAGAACGCCTTTCCAGTGGGACAACAGCACCAGCGCCGGTTTTTCTACGAGCAATAAAACGTGGCTTCCCGTGAACAGCAATTACAGAACTCTGAATTTAGCGGCGCAAAAAACTGCGAGCATATCTCACTACAGAGTATTCGTGGCCCTGGCGCAATTGAAGAAGAAGCCCATCATTGAGCGAGGCTCTCTGGAGACCGTGTTGGTAACCGAGAAAATTCTAGGAGTCATACGACGATACGAGTCATCCGTCGTAGCAGTCCTAGTTAACTTTGCCGACACACCGGTCACCGTCGACGCCAGGACTTGGATGAATATCCCGGATCAGATGATCATCTATGTATCCAGCGTTCATTCCAAGCTAGTTCCAGCCTCACTGGTTGACACGACTAACATAACCGTGCCTGGTTCGGCCTCCATCGTGCTTACCACAGATTTGAATTAGCAAATTCCTGCTTATCTCATACTCATGGATAACTCTCTAGTAAAGGGAAGTTTCGGTTATACATGTGTAAATGTATAGATAAGTTATTTTTTCGACAAGCAGATCGTCTTGTATTAATCTGAGAAATATTCGAAATAAATTTTTATCTCATTGAAATATCATTTACTGGTTAAATTTATTCGTTATTGTATATGTAATAGTAAGAATGTTGGAAAAACAAGTTATCGTTATCAATTGATCAATTGGTTATACGAGTTTATCAATTAACAGTGAAAGATATTCTAACGTATTTTTTTTCTCTTCTCTCTCTCTCTCTCTTGCTCTTTTTCTTTTTTCCCTCTGTGTTATTAGAAATTTTTCAGAATTTCTTATACAGTATAAAAGCGCATCGGAATTGTCAATCGTATTAATCATTCTGTTTTGCCTGCATATTTTAATTACAACACTGATTGTTCGAACTACTTTGATATCGATCGAGAAAACAAGCAAGAATTGGTATAAAAATAGTCTAGTGTACTATACCTATCCAAGAAGGACAATAATGGAAACGGTATAAGCCATAGATGATCTAAATGGCATCACGAGCAAGTTGGAATACATCACCGACATCGGCGCGGATGCATTATGGCTGTCGCCGATCTAGTCCGCAGTTCGACTTCGGCTATGGCATCGCCAATTATATCGATATCGACAAAGACTATGATACCTTGGCCATTTCGACAGAATCGTGGCAAAGATAAAACTTCTCGGGCTGAAAATAATCCTCGATTTCGTGCCGAATCACAGCTCTTACGAGCGCGAATGGTTCAAGAAGAGTGTCCAACGCATCAAACCCTGTGTTACAACGCGTTGTAATACCGCGTTACTGCAGATATTCCGAGCACGGAAATCTGCCCAGGGAATTGCATATGTCGTCATTGCGTTGTCAAATATTCAAGTCAATCTAAAGGGTTGGTGGTTCTCGCGGTTAATTATACCTCGAACTAATCTAACCAATCGAATATGAATCTGCTGTTTAATATCATAATGTGTCGTTGACCGGGATTTAAACTACAAATTGTTTGATTTAAAATTCTTGATAATACAGTCTCATGACAAAGATTTAGTTGTGCTTGAACAAACTATTAATTATATGTGAAATATTAATTGTGGAAACCAATTTTATGATAATGTGCGTATAGTAATTGTCAAATATCGGAATATATTTTTGTGTCATATTTCAAGTGGATCAATGTTTAAAAATTGGATGATTACAAAATGTAATAAAATTCAAGCTATAATCAACATTAATAACATTAATAATAAAACTAATTAAGATTTACAGTTGGCCTTAATAAAAATGATATTTCATTTACGATATCTCATTACATAAGAGTGATATCTCATTTGCCGCATATTCATAGTATAACATATTTATTAAATTTACGTGTAAAAATATAAAATTATTCGTTCACATTCATCAATTACTCCAATAATACCCTTAGATTTGAGAGAGAAAATTTTATTTTAAATTTATAAAGTGGCAGTGAGTGACATTTAAAGGGAAAGAGAAAGATGGAGAGAATATATTAATGATATATCATTTTTTTGATACAATAAAACTTTTTTGTAAATTAAGAGCTATAATATCTTGTTATATATTACACCAATAAAACTCTAGGACCACATGATTTATGCAGAATGCACACATTGCATGCGTGATATAACTTCAACTGGGTTGCTTGTTGATTCACAATGGTCACGAGTTGGATTTGATATTTAGACAAAGAAGGTTAATTTTATATACTTTGCGTGCGCAAAAGCGAATAGTGGATATAACGATACAAACGATATAACGATACAAACGATATTTCAGTACGTAAATAAATTAGCCTTTTTATAGCTCAAAAAGAGAAACTAAATTTTCTTTTTTCTTCTTTTCTTTACAAAAGTTAACTTAGTATTGTGTGTATTATGTGTTTTTCCAAGATAAAATTTTAAAATTTAACTTAGTTTTTTTAGTGAATGCGGATTTCGACATATACGTATATATAATAAACTGTAAATGCGCGCAAATTTTGCATAAAGTGCGTTTGAAATGAAACTATCTCTCACATATGAGATTTCATTTAATTCTAAAGTAGCGAAATATATACACATATATTCATATTATTAAAATCCATTTTATATGTTCGGCGAATTGCTGCAGATCAAAGCGAAAATGCGGTGCTAATGTACAATTTAGCTACAAAGTAATAGACGTAAAATAGTTAATCATTACACGTATGCTATATATAAAATATTTGTGATTTCGATATTGCAGATAATTTATACTTTTATGTATTTAGAGACACTCCAATTATGTTTCATACATTTGCGTTATATACCATTACCTTTAAAATAAATTTTAATCCTTTGATATTATACAATGTGTGTATACTCGATATACTGTAATAGTACAATCGATTCATATGGAATTACGTTAAACAAATCGGTTACAGTATTTTCTGAATTTCACAGATAAATAATAATTAATTAAAAACGAAAATGTCTACATGCTGACATGGATATAAAATGAAAAGGGTTGAAAAATTTAAAATCAATATTTCGTGACAAGAATTCCGTGATAATCAAATTTCGCCTAAGTATTCTCAATAATTATTCTTTGTTCGGACAGTGACACATCGCTTGACATTATCGTCAAGGAATAGTGGCTGTCAGCAAAAATGCATTTTGCCACGCGATTGTGTTCCGCGACATTAAAAAAAATGCTCTAATGACCTAATTAATTACGCGAGGAAAAAACTTCGGTCCGGTAAATTTTAAAGTCTAGAGGAAGTGACCGCGAGAGAGCAAGGCATCTCTTTATTGTACGCTTGGCACAAGTTTCGTGAGACCCTGGAACACGATATCGAGCTTGGTCGAGCTTTTTCGTCGAGCGAGGTCACATAAACAGTACGATGCAGCTTAAAGAGGAGCTTACGGAGAAATACGTTCGCCAACAGGCGCGTTGCTTGAATTACTGAGAAACGCGTGCCGCTGCCGCAATCTCGGCGAGATTTTTCTCATTATTTATTAATCCTTGAACAACGTACCGTGGGGGTTCAACGGACCTCACCACTTTCTCGCTTTACTAGACTTGTCGTGCACAACAGAGAATATCACATGCACTCTCTATTATGTAAAATATAAATGTAAAAAATCTTTTCAAATTTTGCGTTTTTTTATCCCGACAAAAAATACGATTTTAAGTAAGACTAATTCTCCATCATTTATAATGTTTACTGCCAGAAATATCAATTTACAAGAGCTTAATTTGATGTTACAATATTTATTTTGAAAGAATACAGGTATATGGAAATTAGCTACCTCATTAATTACAATATTTACTGCAACATTTATCAATTATATCTTCCTTTCTTAATATTACAAAAGTATACCATGTTATTATTTACATAATTCGCAATTTAAATATTTATCTATATAATTTGAACTTATATAATTTAATCTATAATTAGACCAATTCTCTCTATATTGTAGAATTATAATCTAACGGAATAGCATGGAACTTTTGATCCTATATTAGTTAAATCAAACTGCTCTAAGTCGGCTTTGTCGATTTTACAACCATATTCAGATTTAGCTTTAGTTATGCGATCAATGCACTACACAAATATATAAAATGTTTGTACGAAACGTGTACGCAGGGGCTTAATAATGTGCACATAAAAATTTCAACACTCGCAAAAACGCGAATGGAAAATATAACAAAGTACGTAGAATCAAAACTCGATTTTATTCAGGAAATAAGTCTAGTATCGTCATTTTTGGACAATGCTGGAGAGTACGCGATGCACGTTCCTAATATCTCTCTGTAACGTTACAATGCAAAATCTCCATGATGGAAGACTACATAATGCGAAGACCGACGCGCGTTATTGTCCATGAAATCCGCGAAACTATTCGAAGGCAACCGCTTTAAGGTTGAACCTTTATCCTTCGATATAACGCGCATGTGCGGATACACTATTCTCCAAGGTACTGCAAATGAAATTCTATCTGGATATCCTTTTGCTAGTGAAACCTCAAGGTCTTTCCGCGAAAACATATCTCCCTTATGACGGCTCCTCTCGAGCGAGGCGCAGCGAAAGGTGCTGGTTTTGAATTTTCCGGGTGTGGCGTAATGGAAGCTCGCGTGTATTCGCGACCTAAGTACACGCGACACGGTTATGCACGCCAATATTCCCCTTTCGATCGGCAGCGAATAAAGTAAGCTCGTGTCGGCCTCGTATTTTTATATTCGCCAACAGTCGTGCTAAAGTAGACGGTTATCAAACAGAACTCGCTCGCATCGGTCAAATGGCCCCTGTAATTTGCACCGACTTTTATTTACTTTATCACACATGTAGTAATAAACTCGCTTTTTGGGATGCATGCTATTAAATTTTCATTAGCGTACTGCGGATTTTGGCTCGGCAAAACTTTATTTATTTGCATTTTTGTTTGAACTCCACCCGTAATTTTTTCCAATCAATAGAATTATCAAATTCGAGCATCGATATGGGATTTTATTGGAGAGCTTATTCAATTTCTAATTTCTCATGGGAATCTTATACAAAATAAAATCTCGTTGCGTGTTTTTTTTTCGCTCCGAAGGAGACACGTAATCACGAGTTCAATAAATATTGTGAAAATAATTTTCAATTTTTTTTCATTTCTAGGAGATTGCATAATCAATCTGAAATATTAATTATTTTCGTGATTAAATGCTTTACATTATATTTTTTATCAGTATAAATATTTAGTATTAGATATTTCACAAAATTTTATTCGAAAATTCGTAATTTGTCAATTTTTTAAAACTACTCTTGATATTGGATACTTCAAATAATTGCACATCGTGACGTACATAATCTAGGTAATGGCATCACCGTTGCGTGTGAACTATACGAATAAAACGGACAATGAACTTTTTGATTATTATAAAACATTTAACAACTTGTTGCAACTCCTTGAAAAATATAGTACAACATATACATATTTATCTCCGATGATTAACACGCTTGGAAAATTGATTTTCTTCATGGCTTAAATAGATACGTCGGATTTGAAATTTATGTCGTTTCAGTGCGTGCCAGTAAGACATTACCAAATGGATTAATTCAAC